GGCAAGGTGATCTTTGCTCCCCATAAGACTAGTTTTGTAAAGAACAATGGTCGGTTTTGTACTAGTTGCAAGCAAGTTGGTCATGTAGAACAAAAGTGCACGAACAAAAAGTCTAAAGCCAATATATCCTCAATTAAGCTTGATTCTTTCTATATGTTTACCAAGGATACTAATGATGTGAAGGCTAAGTTCATTGGTCCACCATGGATGGGCTCAAAGAAGAAAGTCATTTGGGTACAAAGAGCTTAGTGACTAACCTTCGAGGATCCAAGCAAGTTTGGGTACCTAAAAAGAATTTATCTTCTTTTGTAGGTCAATTACAAAGCCGAAGAGAGACATTGGGTTCTTGATAGTGGGTGCACTCAACACATGATCGGTGATACAAGAATGTTCAACTCAATCAATACCAATGGCAATAATGGTTATGATAGTATCATATTTGGTGACAATGGCAAAGGCAAGGTCAAAGGGCTTAATAAGATTGCAATATCCAATGACATGAGCATTTTCAATGTGTTGCTAGTAGAGAGCTTGAACTTCAATTTGCTATCCATGGCTCAATTGTGTGATCTTAGATTCAAATGCATATTTGGGGTAGATGATGTAGAGATCATAAGTGTAGATGGCTCTAACTTGATTTTCAAATGCTTTAGATATGAGAATCTGTACTTGATTGACTTCAATGCTAGTGAAGTTCAATTGTCAATATGCTTGTTCACTAAGTCTAGTATGAGTTGGTTATGGCATAGAAGGTTTGGTCATGTTGAAATAAAATAATTGAATAGATTGGTTAAACATGACTTGGTTAGAGGTTTGAAAGATGTCATGTTTGATAATGATAAACTTTATAGCTCTTGTCAAGCCGGCAAACAAGTTAGAAATACCCATCCTAAGAAAAGCATAATGAGCACTAGCAAAGCATTTGCGTGGAGTTTTTGAGCAACGGCTCTTTTAGCTCTTGGGGCTATAAATAGAAGTGGTGACCAGCCTTGGGCTGGTTGCTGAGCACCCTCACACTTTGGTGGCTTTGTGTAGGTGTGCTTGGATGCCCTCTAACTCACTTGTGTTTGCAAGAGTGCGAATCGATTGCTATTGAGTGATTCTAGTGTGTAACACCCCGGCTCAGGGCTTAATAGGATTAATAGGATACTCGTACCAACAAGTTGCAACTTCTTTTCTGAAAGCTCATCTCATAAGAACTCCAAGGTTAAGCGTGCTTGGCCTGGAGCGATGGGTGACCGACTGGGAAGTTCTTCCTGGGTGCGCACGAGTGAGGACAAAGTGCGTAGAAAAGACAAGTGTTGGTCTATGAGGACAGTCTATATCCTAGTTAAGTTGCCAGGTGTAAGCAGACCCAGCCTCGGAGAGGTGGGACGTTACATAGTGCGTTGAATTGTGAGACTTTATCGAATGGCACTAGGTGTTCGAGTTGCAAGCCGGTGGTGCTTGTTAGTCTTGGAGGTTGCCACCTCCCTAGACGGCTTGGTGGCGAGTTCTCCATCGTGAAGCACGTAAGAAGATTGTGCGGTGCTCTTGAGAAGGATTTATGAGGGGTGTTGTGCTCGTCCCGCGGGAGCCGCGAAGAGCAACTCTAGTTGAGCGTATCATTGAGCTACCCTCACTTGCGGGTTGGTTCTTACGGTGCCCAACATGTGGGCTTGGCGAGTGATGCCAATTAGCCGCCAAACCATCAAGTGAGCGGTAAACACAACGGAGACTAGCTTGGTGGCAACCAAGTGAACCTCGAGATAAAAATCACCGTGTCAACCTTGTTCATCCTGTTGGTTTGCAATTCCCCGACACAAGCTTGTATTTACTTTCATATATATTGTGCCTGTGTAGTTGTTTTTTTAATTAGTTAGCTTGTGTAGCTTGCTAATTACCTTCTTACTTGTGTAGCATAGAGGTAGCTTCCTTACGTGACTAATTGACTTGAGTAGCCTTGTTAGTCACATTGCTTAGTTTGTGTACCTAAGTAATTGAAGCTCTATAATTTAATTTGAGTAGCCTTATTATTGAGCATTGCTAGTAAGCTTAGGCATTGTGCTTTTGTATACTAGTTTGTGTAGGATCTCTCCTAGTTGCTTGAGTACTAGTTGCATAGGTTTATATGATCTTGCTACTAGAATTAATTAGATGAGTTATAACTAGCCCGACATCTTAGTTTCTTGTTTAGGATCTTTTTAAAGGTGCTTACTAACTTAGATATAGGAGTATAGTCTTGATTAAACTAATAGTTTTAAATCCGTATTTCTTTCAATTAGCTGACGTGTTTAATTTTAGAAATAACTATTTATCCTCTGCCATCTCAACTCTACGTCTGCTATGTAGCCACAATCAGTTGCTCGCATGCTGCTATAGCGTACGTCGACGCCTGGTGGGTGACCTCAACGGGCACGACCCCCATATTCCAGCGCTCGTGCTTGCCACGACAATGGACTTTTTTCTTGACAATATATTAAAAAAAAAAAGAACAACTAGCAGTGTGCAATATCTTGTATTATAGTTTCAATAATTTGAGCGAGGGAGACCAATATCTAGTATTGTAGTTTAGGAAGTAAACTCAAACTTAGTTGAGGGATGTAAAATGTACCTTTTTTTTTTCTTTCATGTATATTGGGTTGGTGACTACTTTATCCATTCTAAATTATAGGTCGTTTTGGCTCCTATTCATTTTGCTATTGTACTTAGATATACTCGCTAGGTCTAACACATAACAAATACAATGCATCTAGAAAAAAACTATCTAGAAAAAAAAAACTACAATTTGAAACGGATGAATTATTTGACTTGAAACCTTTTTCCATATATCAGATGTCCTATTTTTACCACCAAACTTTTGAGATTTCGTGCAGGTATTGGATCTAACGGTCACGGATCTTTCTCCCTGGATCCTAGGGAGCTCACCATCCGCCAAAGTTTTTTTTTCTTTTTATAGCCATTTTTTTATAGAGAATTTTTATTTTCATATAATATTAATATTTTCTAGATCTTTTGGTATATTTCAAACAAAATAAAATGTTCGAGAACAAGGTTATAAAACATATGCTTTTGTTCCAAAAACAAAAAAAAATGCTCCAGAGTCTAGACCAAAACTTATTAGCCTGACTTATCAGTCATAGTATAGTGTTTTTCTCTCATAACAAATCAGCTTCAGCCGGCTTATCAACCACAAAAATCAAACAAATATCATTTTTTGTTATAAATGATGTAATTAGGTTAATCTGATAGGCCTAATTAGACTATCGTGTTTGCAAGCTAGAAGTAAAACATCCTACATATATTAAGTCCCCATTCAAGAGACCGAAGATTACTTACCGGACGAGTCGACGAGAGGGATTTCGGTGGCCAGGTTAATACTCAACTAGTGCGTGAACAAGTTTGGAAACATAAAATTCACGAACGGGCCTTAAACTTGATCGGAGGTGTCATTTCGATCCTCAAACTTTAAAAATGCTATTTACGGGTCTCTAAACTTGACCAATGATATCATCCAAGTCCATGAACTTCTAAGGTGTTCACTATTGGTCCCTAAACTAGACTAGTGGTGTTATTTCAGTCCCTAAGCTTGGTTTTGAGTCTCATCCGAGTCCAAATGGAGCCTAATCTACTCTATTAGTTGACGTCACACATTGATTTTTTCAAAAAATAATTCATAACTTTTGCATATGAGCTCAGTTGAAGACAAACTGTATATGAAAATTGTAGCCCTCGACGGGATCTACAACTTTGTAGTTGAAATGTTTTTGAATTGAAACTATTTAGGGTCCCAAAATATTTCTGTAATTTCACAAATTTTGAAATTTGAAATTTGAAATTTAAAATTACCAAACAATCTTGGATGTTGACATGATGTATATGAAAGTTATAGTTATCAATATGATCTACAAATTTGTAGTTGAAAGGTTTTTTAGTGTCCCAAATATGTGTTCTAATTTTATAGATTTTGAAATAAAAAACTTAGAACACATATTTAGGACACTAAACGACTTTAAATAAAAAAACTCTTAAACTACAAAGTTGTATATTGTATTGAGAACTATAACTTCCGTATAGATCATGTCAACATCCGAGATTGTTTGGTAATTTTAAATTTCAAATTTCAAAATTTATGAACTTACAACAATATTATAGTACCATAAACAATTCAATTAAAAAACATTTCATCTACAAAGTTGTAGTTATGAATTATTTTTTGAAAAGTCAGTGTACGACGTCAACGTATAGAGTGGATTAGATGCCATTGGGACTCGATGAGAATCAAAACTAAGCTTAGGGACTGAAATGACAGCACTGGCCAAGTTTAGGGACCAATAGTGAACACCTTGGAAGTTCATGGACTTGGATGATACCGTTGGCCAAGTTTAGGGATCTGCAGATAGCACTTTAAAAGTTCGGGAACCAGGATGACACCTCCGGGCCAAGTTTAACGACCGGCGGTGAATCTGTCCATGATATTGTCGCTACACGCTGAGTAGTCCAGCAAAAAAGCCACGCTTAACCGTCTCCAGAATAAAGGTACAGATAAGGACGCCATTTACATGTCACACGAGTTCTAGGACATCAAATATTGACAAAGCATTCTTGATGATTCGTCGAGTTCATCGTTGCTTTCTTGCGCATCACCATTGCGATCAGAACTCAGTCTCGAACACGGTCCTTTTTCCTGCAAGAAAGGGTGGATGCATCAATGACCACCAAGTTAGACATCACCAACCCCACACGAATACAAAAATCACAACTTTCTGGATGCATAACTTGAACACCGTGGAGAAAGAAAGAGAAAAATTGCCAGCGCCGCGCCGTTGCGAACCATTCCCTAGGTGCAAACGAGTTGATTACCTCACTCTGAATATTTCATAATCATTTTAGGTTCATCATTCAGCCATGGTTTGGTGATTTACCTGTACTGGGTGTGCCCCAGTTAGCAGTGTCGACATGGCTGCCTGAGCCGCCTCCAACACTGCCACCACCTTTCTCCTTGTAATGCCATGGAAAACTCAGCAGCTCAAGCCATTTAGTGACACACAGTTTTTATGACCATCTCCCAGGTCCAGCCCATCCCGCTCAAGTGCTGCGACTAAGTCAGTGTGGCTATTGAAACGCACAAAGGCTTTCCTGCAAGATAGACGACCAAATAAAACAATCAGTACCATGAAAAGTACATGCAGAGGACAACCGATCAATGAACAGGTTGGTCAACTTTGTTACCCTGTGCTTGTGCAATCCGGATTCTCTGGGGTGATAATTCGTCCACTAAGTAGTCGATTCCGGCGGAAATGAGATCTAAGCATGCTTCTGATCTGCAGTAGGCGGAGAATCAGTGAGCCAGGTGGAATGACAACACAAAGGAGGCTGATCAGGGAAGCCCTTGTGCACAGAGATGCAAGATTAATTACATGTGTGATACTGAGAGATGTATCGAAGCCCACGACACAGACGGTGTGAGGTACTCTACCAGGGAGTAACTCCATCACAGGAAGAGCGTCTCTGGGAAGTAAAATTAATCAAGGAAAATTGAGCCGATGAGAGAGCTTACCTGTTAAGATCATAACTTTTCTTATCAAACCATGCAAATTTGAGTGGACGCCCCATCAGACAACATCCGGTAAGCTGGTAAAGTGCCTACAAGCATATTAAAATAAATTACAACACCTCTAGAGAAAAGAAACGACACAATAATTAATGTAACAACCACAAACATAGAAAATAATTCATCAGACCAAAGTGGCATGATATTGATCGATAAACTTCAGAAATATTGGTGTAACAAACATAAACAAGGGAAATGAATTGGAAACATTTATTTTACCATCTGAGCAGCAACTGATGTAGTAAAGTGCACAACTGCACAGCGTTTCGTACTACTGAAAGAAATGTCAAGAACCCCACTAATCTCCTTAAAAAGATCCCTCCTGTACATGTAACAGAGTAATAAAAGGTTAATAACGGAGATTTAAGTCCAAACTTCTGGAAGCAAATTAAGCTGTAAGATCTTTGTGCTTGCCTATAAGCTTACACTTGATCATAGCCAACATGTAGGGCGGTAGGGCCAAATCCCAACAAACAATTGTGGCCATTTTTTATATTTTATCATGATGAACATCCCGTGGAGGCCCTTTGGGCTTCACGTCCGGTGGAGGACCTTTGGGCTTCACTTCCGGCGGAGGGAGTCTGGGCTTCACACAATATCAAGAGATCACAATAATTACTGGATCTTAAGTTACAAGAAACATGGTAGGTTACTTTGTACACTTTGTTGTCTGACATAATCTCTACCCTATGTTATTGGCTACAAACAGGGTCAAATCATCAAAAAAAAAAAGTTAATACACATATGATAGTTGATATTTAAAAGAATAGCCATCTAATCTTCAAGTAGTTAATCTGCAAGTACAACATAGTTCCACAGATCGAAAACATAAGAGCAGTTGCTGTTTCAGTACAAGGAAGTTATACAAAAGTGAAAATAAATGCTAATTGAATGCAGGGCTAAAATGCATATGGTTCGACCAAGGAAAAACACCCAGTGCTCCAAGGTGTGCACAGTGCCAAACACACTTAGTTCCTAGAGAAGGCATCAATTTTAGTGAATGAAGACTGGTTCGCTAAAGAAGTTTGTTTATCTGAAGCACCTACTCCAATGCAGTCTTTGAGCACTACAGATAAGCGAGGGCTTGAATTGTTTTTGTGGACAATGCAAGAGCCACCAGATTGCTATGATGCAATACTTGTCAAGGCGCTAGATTCTATTAGTGTAATAGAGTAGTACATAATAGTCTTACATCATCTCAAATATATGCAAGGTCATTCTCAATGGCTGATAACGGGCTTCATCATTGTATAGTATGAGAATATTGTTGGCAAGCCAGTGCACATCTTATGATGGGATCAATAAGCCCTCAGAAATACACATTTTTTACAAGCCTTGAAGCTGTTCCTTGCATCTTCAAGTCATCTCCAACACGTCAACATCAACAATATATGATGTAGCCTTTTCACAATATTTAACATTTTCACACAAAATTTTGAGTAGTCATTAAATAGATAATTAAAAAATGTCATACTTGAAACCAATAAACTAGAATGAATCACAATATATCGATTATGATATTTCTTAGTTACCAAGTTTCAAATTGCTGAGTTCTCTTTCAGTGATCCTTGACATTTTGAACAACATATTAGTTATATATATTTCCATAGAGTTCGAGATTTACACCAGCAAGAAATCAAACCAGAATTGCAGCATGGCTAGAATCTGGGTAAAGAGAAAATTGAGCCAAGAGATGTTATCCAGTTTTAGTATCACCGAACAACAGCCAGTTATAAATGGTGTTAGCAATGCTTGGTTTGGTTCGCAACTTCGCACGTATATACTATACTAAACTGAACGAGTGGTCTAGCTGTTACAGTACAGACTATTCTGCACAATCAATACTCTAACAGAAGAAGAAACACTAATTTGATTTGTTGTACCAATACCCAAAAATTACTCGCCAAATCAGCTAGTTGCAGTCTATTCGGCAGAATCAAAGCGCACGACAGGCAGGCACTTTTTACACATCGGAAACAGAGAATAACATTGTATACTGACGGAAAGAAAACTCAGGCATTTGAAGCACAAGTTTCAACATATCAAATTGGACAAGACAATTGGATCAAATTTATTTAGTTTCAACATGTCAAATTGGACAAGAGGAATGCCTCAAATTTCCTTTCTACTTGTAGGCAAAACAAGTAAATTTCCGAATCACCTTTGGCTTCGGTCGGTCCCAAATCGCCCTCCTCGGAGGGCCAGGCCTCGGTTGCCTCAAGTGGTCTGGGAGACGATCCTTCGGAATCCTGTCGATTCTCTTCTTCATCCTCGCCATCTTGCCGGCGGCTACTGATGAGCCCCCGAGCGAAACCCTAGATTATGGCTCTGGATGATTTGGGGAAGACGAGATGGAGCCTGCGGGATTTCGTCCCACCTTTCGACTGGGACGGGACACGGGACCTTCTTTGAATACAAATGTCCCGGCGCTGATGAGCAACTCAGGCAGTCAGGCGTCCCTAGATGTTCAATCGTGAGGCGATTGGCGGTGAGGCGGGCGGCGACGCAGGAGCAGGGATATCTCTGCGACGCAGGGAGCAGCTTCTGCGGAAAAATACTAAACTGCCCCTTAATTACAACTAATTAATTTTCGTAATTAATACCTGCGGCAAATTGGTTCCTCCTAACAAATTGTATTTGATATCATAAATATTGATATGTTTTATTTATAATTAGCCAAAATTAAAATACTAAAACATGGCACTATTACTATAATTGTTTTTTTTTTACGGAGAGAGTACCAAATAGTAATGCAAAGTCATGGCCCTAACGTAGTGGACATATATCACTCTGTCAGTCTGCCTGCCTGCCACAACCACAAGTCGTCGTCGTTTTGCCGCAACCAAAACATAAACGTACAAAAGGTTGTTTCGTTTTGCTCCATCTGTGTATCGCTCAACGAATCCGTCCAAGACCTGATCGGCATTTCGTTTCGATGGCGCGTCATGCATGCTGCAGGCAACCGTACGTGGTGATCCGATCCGCCGCGAACGATCATCCGTATGCTCGCTGGGGCTGATGGACATGGTGCGCGTGTACCGGCCGCGAGCTGGCCCGGGAGTTGAATTCGCCGTGTGCCGCGTCGTCGCGTCCAACCCAAGCAGCCCAACCGGCCGGCCGCCCACCCAAACGCTCAGCTCGTCCCGGGCCGGCTGCCTTGTACTTCCTCCGTCCCAAATTACAAGACGTTTAACTTTTTTTTTACACCAAGTTTAACAACTCGTTTTATTCAAAAATTTATGCAAAATGTCACTTCTTTTGTTGTGGCTTACTTTATTAATAAAAGTTCTTCAAGAATGACTTAAATTTGAATATGTTTGCACAAATTTTTTGAATAAGTCGAATGATTAAATTTGGGGTCAAAAAAAATCAAACATCTTATAATTTGGAACGGAGGGTATTTCATTGCTGCAGCGCACCATCTTCTACTTCGACTCCCTCACCATGCCCACAACCACAACCATACGCAGCCATGGCAAGCCACAGCTCCCGCTCGCCCCGCAGCCATGGCATGCAGCATCGCGCTGCTACTGGTGGCAGCGGTCCAGTTGACCACCGCCGAGCTGAAAAGAATGGAAAGTTATTTTTGCCTTTAGGTACATATGCCCCCATAAAAGGAAGCCACACGTCGAGCCAGCCGACTAATTGAAGGTGGCTACAAGACATTATATCATCCTGCTCGGGCGACTAGGAGCTGAGGAGGCCAAGACATCATGAGTGTCGATGCCGATGCTCACAAAGCGTGGCACCATTCCTTCCTGCCATCGATGACGACGGCTCTCGACAAGGCAAGGCTGCTGCGGTCGTATTGGACCATCTTCTCCGGTTTCGCGGCGCGGTTAATGGAGGAGGAGCTGAAGGAGGTCTCCACCAAGCCAGGCTTCGTCTGCTCATTGCGAACGCCGGCGTTCCTGGGCCTGTCGAACTGCATGGGGGAGTCGCCCCGACGATTGGCCCGGCGGCGGTGGTTGGGGGTGATCGTCGATGTGTCGTCGATGACATTGTCCACCTGGCAATCTACAAGGCATGCGGCAAAGACATGAGAGACTACCCCTCGATAGGCTTGCTGCAGGCCTTCGACAAGCCGATGGCGGACGGGGTGGACGTGTGTCGGTGTTTCGGAACCGGGGGTCCTTAACCGACTAGTGAATTTGTGCTGCGTGCTCCCAATTTCGGATGGTGATGCAAAGAGACACAAGGTTTATACTGATTCGAGCAATGGATGCCCTACGTCCGATCCCGAGAAGATGTTCTTGTATTCCTTGCACCGGGTGCTCGTAGTAAAGGGGTTACAAATTTGGGCGAGAGAGGAGTTCGTCCCAGATCTCTGTGAGGGGAGGTGATATGAATTACAGAATGAGGCGTGTTGTTCGTGCGAGTATTCGTGACTCTATCCGCCGTCCCTAGAAACGGTCCTGGCCGCCTCCTTTTATAGCCGCAGGGAGGAAACCAGGAGTACATAAGAGAGCTACACGTGGAGCGGACTATTTGATGACGATTTACTCCACGGAGCAAACATGGCGTTGTCGTGGGAGTTCCGTAGATGTCTAATCGGTATGGTCTCCATCGCAAGTAACATCTTCGCGCATTTGTTGGCTTAGTGGATTGCGAAGCTCGGCGTGCCATCATAGCCGGTCGTGCCGAGGCCTGTTGCAGCCGAGGTCTCATTGTCTTAGCGAGGCCCGAGAAGTGACCAGTGTGCAGATGCGGGTCTCGGCGGCCATCAAAGTGAACAAAGGCGAGGCGTCGCGCGCCTACAGGATACTGGTACTGTGTTGTCGGTGGGGATGGTAAAAAAGGTGATCTCGACCGTTGTCCCGTCGCTCCTGCTGCGGCGCACTACGATCGTGGCTTACGTGGCGGGTGCGGTGGCGCGTAATCGGATGCGATACCTGCCGGAGAGACCTTTGAGGCGGAGGCGACGAGGTTGCGGGACGAGCCTGGCCTCGGGCGAGGCGGAGCGCGGCCAATTCGTCCGAGGCCCTACCGGGGGGTCTCGGGCGAGGCGGAAAAAGATCAGTGAATCCGAGGTCTCGTCGAGGGGGCTCGGGCGAGATGGAGCGGTCGGTCCGCTGATTCCGAGGCTACAGGAACCTGTTCTGACTCCCCACGTTGCGATGTCTTTGGTGCGGGAGTTAAGCGACACGGTGGTGGTAACCCCGCTTCTTCTGTGCGTCGCAGATGGCGTGGAGGTTGACGCGACCGGCGTGTAGTCGGTCACTTATTTGTCTTGTGTCATCGCAAGGCGTCTGTTGGAGTGGTTGGGCGCTTGGATGCGACGTTCTCGTCGAGCGATTTGGTCGAAGAGGCGGTCACGGGCTGGTCCCGAGCCGGCCTCTCGCGAATCGGAGAATCGGCACTTCTTCCGAGGCCCCGGCGAGGGGGCTCGACGAACGGGCCTCGACGAGGGGCCTCGGCGAGGCGGTCTCGGGCTAGTCGGAGAATTGTTTGCTTCCGCTGGGGCTCGGCGACGGGGTCTCGGGCGAATCGGAGATTTCGGCCGAGACCTCGTTTGTTTATTCCGTTGGTTCCATTTTTAGGGTCTAAGCAGTTTTTCAATCTTTGCTTGGGGTACCCCATTTTACGGTATCCCAAGCAGTGGCCCCGAGCCTCGGGGCGGAGTGTGGGATACTCTCCCGAGGTTTTGTCGAGACTTTTGTTTCAAAGTGGCTCTTGTCGGGTTTGTTTTATACTTGCGATTCCGGTGGGTGTGCTGAAGTGGCCTCTGGCGAAAGTGTCTCTCCGAGGCCCTAGAGGAGTGAGCTTACTCCTTTAGGGGCTTTTTCTTCATTGAGTGAGGCGCTCTATCGCATTTGCTAGACCCATGAGAGCGAGCTCGGGTCGCTTGTTTTCGTTTGGGGTGTAGGAGGAGCCCCCGAGCCTGCCGAGCCCTCGCGTGGGCGATCCGGAGTTCCCCTGGCTTTTGGTACGACCCTCGCGCATCCTTTTCACTCAGAAGGAGGAGTTGTTTGCCGAGCCCTTCACGTGCGAGCCTAGGCCGCTGGGTCTCGGCAAGGTTGCAGGAAGAGCCCCCGAGCCTCCGCACGTAGCGAGAGGGCGATCAGGAGTTCCTCTGGCTTTTTGTACGACCCTCGCGCATCCTTTTCTTTCGGAAGGAGGGGTTATTTGCCAAGCCCTTCGCGTGTGAGCCTAGGCCGCTGGGTCTCGGCAAGGTTGCAGGAAGAGCCCCCGAGCCTCCGCACGTAGCGAGAGGGCGATCAGGAGTTCCCCGGCTTTTTGTACGACCCTCTCGCGCATCCTTTTCGCTCGGAAGGAGGGGTTGTTTGTTGAGCCCCTTTGCGTGCGAGCCTAGGTCACTGGGTCTCGGCAAGGTTGCGAGGAAGAGCCCCGAGCCTCCATGACGAAGCGAGAGGGCGATCGGGAGTTCCCCGGCTTTTGTACGACCCTCGCGCATCCTTTTCGCTCGGAAGGAGAGGTGGTTTGCCGAGCCCTTCGCGCAGGCGAGCCTAGGGGCGGCGGGTCTCGGCAAGGTTGCGGGAAGAAGAGCCCCGAGCCTCCATGACGTAGCGAGAGGGCGATCGGGAGTTCCCCGGCTTTTGTAACGACCCTCGCGCATCCTTTTCGCTTGGAAGGAGGGTTGTTTGCGAGCCCTTCGTGGTAATGCGAGCCTAGGCACTGGGTCTCGGCAAGGTTGCAGAAGAGCCCCCGAGCCTCCGCAGCGGAGCGAGAGGGCGATCAAGAGTTCCCCGCCTTTTATGCGACCCTCGCACATCCTTTTCGCTCGGAAGGAGGGTGGAACATGCCAAGCTACCCTCGGTGGGCGCGAGCGGTGACATTTCCGGTGAGCTTTTATCGGGTAAGTCCGAGTGGAGGCCCGTGCCCCATTCGATAGGGGTCGGCTAGTGGTCGAGACGCGCTCCAAAAAAGTATCGAAGGCTTCTCTAGCGGGTGCGTGGGCGTTCGATTGGCCCTAGGGGCTCGGTGCCTCCCTACGGTGGGATCCCTTTAGAGAACTCCTCTTTGGTCTCGGACACGACTTAGGGCATCCCAAGCAATCGCTTGCACGGGCCTCGGCCATGTATGCAGGCTCGCCCATAGTTGTCCTCGACTCTACTGCCGTCCCGAGTAATTTGTCGAGACCATAAATGGCCCGACCTTGAACCTACGGACCGTGGCGGGCTCGGCGCCGGTTCCTTAGCTCGAAGGAATCGGGTGGGGGTATTTCCTTCCATCGGCCGACAATGGCGCGTCTTTTGAGGCGGTCTTCTCGAGGGGCTGCCGCTCTTTCGCGCGGCGTGGTGTCGATGGATGGGACATAACCGTCTGTCGCGATTAAATGTGGAGAAGGTGGGCGGCGTGGGTGGAGAGATCGGATCTGGATTATATGCGCCGGATCCGAGGGAAACTTCCCGATTTCGTCGCCTGATGGTTTCGTCTTCTTACCCCGCACAAATACGTAAAGAGCCTTGCCCTCCCTCCTTACCTTACGCATTTGCTTTCGCCGCCTCCAAGCCGTTGCTGAGAGCATAAAGCGCCGGGGAGAAGAAGGGCGAGAGAGATCGATTGAAAGAGAGAGAGAGATTTACCGCCGTAGCAGCGTCCTCCACCGCGCAATGGCTGGCGGTCCTATCATCCTCCCAGCGGATCCCTAGGAGCGGTCTGACATCACCGTGGAGAAGCTGCAGTCGCTGGTGGACGCTGGTCTCCTCCGCCCGATCACCGATCCTGACGAGCCGGAGTGGATTGCTCCGGGGAATGAGTCCGAAGTGAGGCCACGTGATGGCTACGTGGTGAGCTTCGTCGTCTTCCACGAGCGAGGCCTCGGCTTGCCGGCGGACCAGTTCATGCGGGCGCTCCCGCACTACTACGGCGTGGAGCTCCACAACTTCAGCCCCAACTCCATCGCACAGGTGGCCATCTTCACCGCCGTTTGTGAGGGGTACCTGGGGATCGCTCCCCATTGGGAGCTATGGCTCCATTTGTTTTGGGTGGTTTTTACCACCAAGCCGGCGAGAGCGAAGGGGGCTCGGAAGGCGTTGAGGGCCGGCGGCTGCACCCTTCAGGTGCGCCAAGACCGGCAGCACCTCTACATCCCAGCCCAGCTGGCATCATCCAACCGTCGTTGGTATGATAGCTGGTTCTACCTTCGTAACGGCGACGGTGGGCTTCCCCCTTATACCAGGCAGGTTGTGGAGAGTCAGCCGGAGAAGTGGGGGTATGGCGTCATCAAGCCCGATCAGCCCAGGCTGGAACCGCTCCTGAGGGCCCTAGGGAAGCTGCGTGATCGTGGCCTTACGGCGGCCGTGGTCGTGGCGGCTTTTCACCGCTGGAGGGTGTTGCCGTTGATGGCTCGGCGGCGGCGCCTGTTTGAGATGACCCCAAGCGATCCGATCGAAGGCATCAAGATGTCCGCCCTCGGCCTTACTGATGAGGAGATCCTACGTCGGGTAAGGGAGGCGGTGGATGGGAAACCGAAGATTGATGGCTTGATGCCGTTCCCGATGCGCCCGTCGCGGGGGTACATTTCCCTGGTAAGTTAGGTGTTGCCGAGGCCTTCGCGGCCTTCTTGCTCATTGCTTTTTTCGCCCGTTGCCTTATTTCGTCGTTTCTGCAGGGGATAAGGGACGTGCGAAGCTCTCCGCCGCCCGTTCCTGAGGACGTCCAGCGGCGAGGCGTGAATAGGGCGTACGCCGAGGAGCAGAAGAAGAAGAAAGACGCCAAGGTGGCAAGGCGCATGAAGAGGACCCTTGAGCGTGAAAAGCTGGACGCACGCCCCCGGCAACAGAGGCTCGACGGTCTCCCGTTGGAGTCGTCTCCCTCATTATCGGTGTCGGATTCCTCGGGCGATGATGGCGAGGTCGAGGAAGGGAAGGGTACCCTGGACCACCTCCCCGACGTTGGGGAGGTGGCGCCCGGGGTGTCTCTAGTAGACGTCCGTCTCGTTGTCGAGGGCGACACGCCCGAGACGCA